TGCAGTGTCCCCTTCACTCCAGTGGATGTAAGAGAGGATGGTGAAGCCAGATGAGTGGGCACAGGGAAGTGGGGGCGGGGGGAGCCCACTGAGCAGGAAGACTCTCTCCTCCAAAATTATTGTTGCCTCCCCCTCCTGCAGTTTCACTACGTGAAAAACCAGGCTCGGTTCTTTGTCCAGGATGCTGGCACTGCCTCCGCATTGAAGGATGTCAGCTACAAGATTTGTGATGAGGAGAACCGAAAGGTAATGTGTTGAGGGCATTACCTCTACCTAGTCCCGGGGCAGGAGGACAGGGCAGGGGCTGGTCGTCTTCTTTGGAATGAAAGTTCTTGGTGCTGACCCCACGTCTCCTTCCTGCAGATATCTATCTTTGTCAATCCTTCTACTGTACCCTACTCTGTGCGGTATAAGTTGGAGCCAGAAGAAATGGAGCAGCTAAAGGTAATGCAGGCTCAAGGTCCATTGTGTGCCCACACCCAGACCCACCTCTTCTTCCTCCAGCCCCGGATTTCCCTATCCCCACCAGAGCCTCCCAGTGGCTCTCTCCATCTCTCTCTGCAGCTGACCATGAACAAACGCTATGACGTCTCCCAGCAAGCTCTTGACCTCCAGTGTCTCCGCTTTGACCCAGGTACCCTTGACAGCAGTAATTCTAGGGCAGGCGGGGGCACAGGGATCTGCCTGGGAGGGAGACTGAGGGATGGTGATGTGGGGAGGGGTTGGTGCTGGCCCTGGACCCCTCTCAGCCTTCTGATTGCCTCCTCTCGGCTTCCTGAAGACTTGGTGAGACATGATATAGATATGATCCTGAATCGAAGAAACTGCATGGCTGCCACCTTGCAGATCATTGAAGAGAATTTCCCTGAGGTAAGGCCTTAGGCCCAGTGCTGTTATTAATGGAAGGGGGTGGAACTCATGGGGTGGAGGACAGATTTGTCTCTGAGGCCCTAGATAATAACTGTCACTTTAACTCTTCTTCACCAACAGCTGTTGTCCTTGAACTTGAGCAACAACAAACTGTATGGGCTGGATGGCCTGTCTGACATCATACAGATGGTCCCCACAGTCAAGATCCTGGACCTCTCCAAAAATGAGGTGGGAAGAGGGAGCCAGATCAAAGTTGGGGTTGTCAGTGGGTGTTAGTGCTCATACAAGTGATGACAGGAGGCAACAGAAGGTACCTGTGTGGAAAGGTGGGGGCTGGGGGCGCAGGGGCCTGTGTGTCTCTCTTTCCCTCGGACTCCTTTCCAGTTTCTTCCCCATATTTCTCAGCTAAACTTGGTGTGGGAGTTAAACAAGATGAAAGGGCTGGATCTTGAAGAGCTTTGGCTAGAAGGGAACCCCCTGTGTGACACCTTTCCAGACCAGTCCACCTACATAAGGTCAGTGTGAACACCTCTCACATGTCCTGGGAACCTTTGGTCCCGGGAGCCTGAACTGTCCCTGAGGATGCATGTGTGCAGGAAGCTGCAACCCTGGTCCTCTAGAAGGACCATAAGTCCCACCTTCTCCTCTCTGTATGTCCTTCACCTGTAAGGAGTTTCCTTCCTCTGACCTGCTCACCTATTCTGCTGGTCTGGGGTCTGTTTCTACCTCTCTGCAGCCAGTGTTCTTTTTTTTTTTTTTTTGCTTTTTTTAAAATGATCTTTTCAAAAATTTTTTATTTAAATTCAATTTAGTTATAATTTAGTGTGTTATTATTTTCAGGGGTAGAATTTAGTGATTCATCAGTTCCATATAACACCCAAGCCTCATTACATGAAGTGCCCTCCTTATGCATTCAGTGTTCCTTAGCATGCCCTCCAAGAGTGTGTTCCAAGAAGCAAGGCTCCTCCTCCTCACCAGGATCAGGAGCGACCAGTCTTGAGCCAGATATTGGTGCCTTGGACTGAGAATGGTCCTCCAGTCCAGGGCCTCATGCTGAGACAGGCCTTCCTACCCCTTGCTGAGATGGGTTTTCCCTCACTTGTTCTGAGAGGGGACCTCCTTCCTTTGCTCCAAAAGGGTTGCCCTCTCTCATCTCAGGCTGCCATGGTGGCTTTCCTGCCCCATGCTGAGGGCCGAGGTCCTGAGGGACTGCCATCGTGACATCCATTCCTCTGACCCAATGTCAGGAGCAAGGTCCTTCTTGGGAGAAACCAGGGTTCCCTGAGTCAAGGGGCCAGAAATTGGTGATTGCCAGTGAGCAGAGGGCTTCCTGAGGCAGGAGTGGAAGGCAGAGGGCAGAGGTGCTTGAGAGGACAGAAGGACAGGTTTCTCAGAGGCACTGCCCCCTCCCTTCCCTCCACACATTACATCATCGCGATTGGTCCTTCAGAGAAGTCCTGGGTAGCCCAGCACAGGTATGATTCCTCAGGCTAGGAACCAACTGAGACAGGCACAGGTGCCCAGGGGCCATCAGGAGGGAAGGCGGTGATCATGAGAGGGGGCCACAGACCCTCAGCCCCATGCTGACCTGGGGCTTGACCCTCTACTCCCCCTGGGGTAGGTCTCCTGCCCCCGTGGCTGCCTCATTTCCCATGCCCGGCTCAGACTGAGTTCACACGGGTGACAAAGTGTCAGCCAGCATGCGATGGGCCCCCAGCCCAACACCTGCATGTTTTCCATGGCTACGTCGGATGCCAGGGCCAGCCAGGGCAGATGAAGGAAAGGACCGCAGGCAGAGGGCCATTTCCCCCTTCTCCTCTCTTCCTCCCTGACCCCCACCACCATGGTAGAGCTTCTTTCCCTTCCCTTTGTTTTGCCTTCTCTCCCTCTTTTGTCTCTAATCCCCTATGTCTCTTACCTCTCCTTTCCTACCTCCAACCCCTCTTCTGTCTTCATCCCCCTCTTTCTCCCTCCCTGCCTCCTGGGTCTTGCCTCACTCACCTCCCTGCCCCAGCATCCTGGGCCACCCCCGGGGGGGGGTGTGTCATGGTCCTGCAGCGTGCTGGACCCCTAGTGAGGTAGTAGAGCCCTGGGCTCCCACTCCATTCCCACTTTCTGGAGTCTTCAGTGGGGACTTGGAGGAAGGAAGGGAGGCAGGAAGGGGAAGGCAGCCCTGGAGCCTGAGCTCTAAATTTTGTTTTTTGTGGCACTGAAGAAGGGAGTCAGGGCCATCTAGGCGGGAGCTACCCAGTAGAAAGGAGAGGGAGGGAGGGGAGGGAAAGTGTAGGAGGAAGGCTTTGCAACCCTGACCTATCAGTCACTTCTTTCTATTTTGGATTTTTGACAGTGCCATCAAGGATTGTTTTCCTAAGTTGTTACGCCTGGTAAGTGACTACATTCATCATTGTCTCTTACTAACATTGATCACCACCACACCTGCCCTCAAGCCCTTTGGGCCTTGCTTAGATTACAGGTTTGTGTCAGAACCTGAACCATTTTAGGGGACCAGGACTCTTGAAAAAAACATGAATATGTTCTCTGGAAAAATGTACAAACACACACACACACACACACACACACAAGTTGCATATAATAGTAGATACTTTCAGGACATCATGATGAAGACACTCACTGTAATCTTGCCTATGTAATTTCCAGTGCCCTTTCATACCTACCCTCTGACCCTCACCCTCTCTCGGGCTCATCTTTTCCCCTGAGCATCCAGGGCCACCTCCCTGGTCTCCACTGCTGACTTCTTCTTCCCTTCTCCAGGATGGCCAGGAGTTACCATCACCAATTATCATTGATACTGACACACCCTGCTTGATGAAGCCCTGCAAGGTGAGGGAAAATTGATCAACAACATTTGAGCTATTACAAAGGAGGCTTTATCAGCCACATAATCTCAAATGTCTTTTGATTCCAGGAAAGCTACAAAGGATCTGATGCACTGAAGAGTCTAGTCCTGCAATTCCTGCAGCAGTAAGTACTCCTGGGAATCTGGGGAAGGGGATGGCTAGGATGGGTGAGGCCACCCAAGCTCAGGACTGCCGAGTGGGTCTTGAAATCTCATTTGGGGTCCAGACCACAGAGACAGACTGTCCTCATTACTCTCCCACAGGTACTATTTGATCTACGATTCTGGAGACCGTCGGGGTCTCCTCGGTGCCTACCACGATGAGGCCTGCTTCTCCCTGGCCATTCCCTCCAGCCCCGAGGACCCAGCCCTGTGAGTAGCAAAGCTCCAACTCTGCTCCTGGGCCCTGTGGCTCCCCAGCGGATACAGGGAAGCTCCTGGAAACACCCACACTGGCCAGACCACCACCTCCTGTTCCTCTTTCTCTGCTAGAAGCAGCTTGTGCGAGTACTTCAAGGAAAGCAGGAATATGAAGAAGCCCAAGGACGCCTGTGCGTGTGTGATGGGGAAGATTGGGCAGGGAAAGGGGGTGTGCAGGGGTAATGATAGGGCCCAGGGTGTGGCAACTCCCGACCTTCGCTTGCTTCTCCTCCCCGCATAGCCCTGTGTGTTCAGCCGCTGAAGCATACAAAACATAACATCGTGGGCTCCCTCTGTGTGCTGCCCAAAACACAGCATGACCTCAGCTCTTTCTTGGTGGACGTGTGGTTCCAGACGGTGAGCGCCGGCTTCCTCCCAGGGGCAGCTCCAGAAAGCCATGGGTGGGTAGGAAGTTTAGGTGGCTTAGCACCTGGGCCCTTCCCTTTCAGGAGACGGTGCTCTGTTTCTCTGTTAACGGGGTGTTCAAGGAAGGTGAGTGTGCTTTGGGCCCCTCCCCAGATGCCCCACTGCTCCCTCCCCGCTGGCTGAGCTCCCTCTCAGAACTGTCCCAGCTTCCCTGATCCCTTTCCCTCTCTTCCTATTCCTGCTGTGTTCTCCTGCCTCCACTCTGTCCCCAAACCATCCTGGTCTGAACCGGCTCTATGCCTGTCTGCCCCACACAGCTTGGGCATTAGGGACACAGTCTGCTTCCCTAATGAGTTTCATGGCTGTCATCCCAAATCCTTATTCTGACAACTACCCGGGGTGGTTACTTAACCTCTAAGTTTCCTCGTTTGCAAAATGGGGCTACCAACACCCACCTCTCGGGCAGCTGTGAAAAAATGAATCAAATGAACTTGTGAAGTGGTTGTCACACCACCTGTCACATAGTAGAGGCCCTGTCACTGGGAGCATTTTGTTCCTACCGTTGCCATCCCCATACCAGACACCCCGACTCCCAGTGAACAGTTGTCCCCTTCGGCATGAGTATCACGTCAGACCCTGACTGGGAACACCGTGTGGGCATGTGAAGCATGTGCAACTCTAATGGGGTATTGTTGTTTGTTGTTAAAGTGGAGGGAAAGTCTCAGGGCTCTGTTCGTGCCTTCACCCGGACCTTCATCGCTACCCCTGCCGGCAATTCCAGGTGAGTGCTACGTTGTAGGTGGGAATGCTCGTCCCAGCCTGGGCTCAGGGGTGTGGGAACGTGGTGGCGAAGACATCTTGGTTTTCTCAGTATTGTGGGAAGCCAACAGGTAGATCCACGGAGCGGTCCGGTCTGGTGGTTAAGAACGTGGGCTCTGGAGTTAGAGCACTGGGTTCTCTTCTTGACCCCAGCACTCACTGGGTGTGTGTGATCTTGGCTAAGTCACATGACCTCTCTGTGACTCATTGTCTTCCTTGGAAAATGGGGATTAGACTGTCCATTCCCTTGAGCTATTGTAAGGGATAAATGTGGGTGTAAAATCATCCCTGGGTTGCAGGTTAAGTACACCTCTAGTGAGGCTGGTAGACAGTCCCTGCACAGGTGGGCTCTGTGGGAGGGGTGGAGGCACCAGCCAAGGAATCTGGGGGCGGGGGGCAGGCACGGTAGAGGTATGGAAGGAATCTGGTTGCTGAGTGGCAGTGGGAGCAGGGTCATTGTTGGGGATGTGGAGTGGTACATTCATCCACTTGTCGGAGGGCCCACTTTCCCCTCAGTCTATGCATCGTGAATGATGAGCTGTTTGTGAGAGATGCCACCCCCACTGAGACTCAGAGTGCATTCTCCAACCAAGAGCCTACACTGACCTCCAGCTCCGCGCCCACCCTCTCCCAGGAGCAGCGGGAAATGGTGCATGCTTTCTCCACTCAGTCTGGGATGAAACTCGAGTGGTCTCAGAAGTGAGTGCTGGGTGTACATGGGAAGAAGGGTGAGTTGGGACAGCGACTTGGGTGGGGGAGCGTGAATCAAAGAAACTCACAGGAAATTTGGAAAAATAACATTTTGGACAGTTTGCTTCCCCCCCCACCCAAGGAAAAAAAAAAGAGGAAAGAAAGTGGGCCCATGGAAAAGGTATCATACTATTATATATGTGAAGGATTTAAAAAATAGTATAATGCTCGATGACATTGTCTTAGATATAGAAAATCTGAAAGAACCCACCAAAAAGCTACTAGAACTAATAAACTCAGCAGGGTTACAGGATAAACGACCAATATACAAAACTCATTTGCATTTCTATGTACTTGCAGTGAGCAGTCCCAAAATGAAACTAAGACAACAAGCCCATTTACAATAGCATCAAAGTAGTAAAATATTTGGAAACAAATGTAACAAAAGAAGCACAAATCTTATACTCTGAAATCCGTACAACGTTGTCGAAAAAAATTAAATAAATGGAAAGATATCCCATTTCCAGGGGTTGGAATATTGCTAAACGGCTTAATATTGTTAAGATGGCAGTAATACCTAGAGCAATCTACAGATTCAACACGATCCCTGTCAAAATCCTTCTCTGCAAAAATTGACAAGGTTATCCCAAATTTCATATGTAAGTGCACCAAAACTATCTCGAAAGAAAAGAACAAAGTTGGAGGACTCACACTCCCTAATCTCAAAACTTGTTACAGAGGTACAGTAATCAGGACTGTGTGGTGCTGGCGTGTGGACAGTGCATGAATCAATGGAGTAGAATTGAGAGTCCACAGATAAACCCTCACAATTATGGTCAATTGCTTGTCAATGAGAGTGCTGAGAAAAATCTGTTGGGAAAAGAAATAGTCTTTTCAGCAAGTGGTACTGGGACAACAGGATATCCACGTGCAAAACAATGAATTTTGACCCCAGATTCACATCATGTACACACATAGACTATGAATGGATCAAAGATCTGAAGGTTAAGAGCCAAAACTATAAAGATCTTAGAAGAAAACAGGTAGGTGTAAGTTTTCATTAATTAGGCAAGTGTTTCTTATATACGACACCAAAAGCACAAGCAACCAAAGAAAAATAGATAAATTGGGCTTCATCAAAACTAAAAGCTGTTATGCACCAACGGACACTATCAAAAGAGTGAAAATCCCGCCAAAGGGATGGGAGAAAATATTTGCAAATCACATACCTGACAAGAATATATGAAGAACCCTTGCAGCTCAACAGCAAAAGGACAAACAACCCCATTTTAAGAAGTGGAAGGGGGGTCTGAATAGACATTTCTCCAAAGAAGATATACAAGGGACCGATGATCACATGTAAAACTTCTCAGCACCCTTAGTCATTAAGGAAATGCAGATTAAACCCACAATGAGTTACTACTTCACACCCACTGGGATGGCTTTAATCAATAAAATGAATGATAACCAGTGTTGGTGCAGATGTGGAGCAACTGGAGTTCTTATGTATTATTGATGAGAATATAAAATGGAGCAGTGGTTGGGGAAAACATTTTGGCAGTTCCCCAAAATGTTAAACATGGAGTTACCCTATGACCCAGTAATTCCACGCCCAAGCATCTAAGGAAAACATATGTTCACTCTAAAACTTGTACAGGAATGTTCATAGCAGCATTGTTCATAATAGCCAAAAAGTGGAAACAACCCAAATGTCCTTTAGCTGCTGAATGGATAAACAAATCTGGTACGTCCACATGGTAGAATATTATTCAGTCATAAAAAGAATATAGTTCTGATCTATGCCGTGCCATGGATGAACCTTGAAAACATGCTGAGTGAAAGGAGCAAGCCTCAAAAGGTCACATACTGTATGATTCCATTTATATGAAATGCCCGGCATAGGCAAATCCACACGGACCAAAGGCACATTAGTGTTTTCCAGGGTCTGGGGAAAGGGGAGGAATAGGGAGTCATCTCTAATGTTTAAGGAGGTTTTTTTGTTTGTTTGTTTTGTTTTGTTTTTTA